TATGAAATTATTTATCCCTTAGTATCACATGTGATACTGCTGTGATACTAAGCATGCAATATAATTTCAAAGTGAAATTTCACATTCTTCCAAGAAAAATAATTTTATGTATGAAGGGCTTATATTACTGTTGGCTGATAAGATCATCACATCCATTTGGACCACCTACTCTTTTTCTAAAATGCAAAAGTGAAGCAATGTAAAGCATATGGGACTTTAATTGGCTTTGAGCTTTGCCAAGAAAAGTCAGAAATTTAATAGGTAAGTAGATGGAGGCATAAGAATGATTCAAGTACTTCCTAGAGAGTTTACTTGGGTAGCACTATTACCTGATCAGACAACATTAGACTCTGTTCAATTATTCACAAGTGCAGAAATGCTATAGTGTTTTACCTCTTAATGTCCCACAAGCCCCTAGCAAAGTTTTTAAAGATAAGGCATCTCAATCAGGAGTCTTTAGACTAGAATGTCCCCTTAACATGACAGGTTAAAAAAAAAAGATTTTAAAGATGAAAATATTGGTGAAGGAGAAGAGGGAAGTGAACAGCCATGCCTTAATGAAATCAGGATGAGCTGCTCACCAAAATATTAGATTTGCTGGCCCTTTGACTTTGTCCAAATCCTTTAAAAATGATGCCCATCTCTCTGATTCCACAGAGCATACCAGATATAATATCTGATCTGATGAATTACAATTTTTATTGGTCATTATTTTATATATTTAGTTCATTGGCTAAGTCAGTTCCTAGCTTTGGTATAATTTCATCTGCTTGTGCCTAAGATTAAAATGCATTTGAATTATTCATCATTCATTTCACAAATATTTTCTAAAGTCTAATATTGTTCAAGCATGGAGGATCCTGGAAGAATGTATCTTTTGTTCCAAAATATTCACTCTTAAAAGTCAACACAAAGTGCTAGAATAATGATGGGGGTAAGAAAAAGTCTGATATAATAGTAAATATCTATGACAAACATGTATATTTTTGGAGCCGTTTGATGTATTACTATAACATAACACAGATCTTCACAATCAACTCAGCGTCCATATTGTTCCTGCCCTATAATAAATATAGGATACATTTATCTTTTATATTAGATTTGAAAAATTAATCCTAAGTAATTTAGGGAACCTCTCTGATTAAAGGGAGTTAATGGCAAGTGAAAAAAAATAGTAGAAAATGCAAAGTGAAGTATGCTTAACCCAAGGTTCATTTCAGACACTATTAATTTCCCTCTCAACAGCTGTTTCATGTGGTGGCAATATGGTAAATTTTTTAAGATTTTTAATCTTCCTCTGTCCAGATCCCAGGCACTCAGTGATATAAAGAATTTAGAAAAATGGATTTATCTTACTGGAAAAGCTTTGTCTATACTAATGTAGAACCCTAAAACATAATGGACATCCCTGCCTGAATCCTTTCAAAGAAATTCCTACATGAGAAGAATCTGTGGCCTTATTACAACTCTATTCACCACAGAGAAGAATTATACGCAAGGCCAATCCAGCTTGATCCCCAAAGGAAATACAAAGGCATCTTGTCAATAAGCACTATCCTGTACTGTGTCAAGGGATGCTCAATGTGTATGTGCTTGTGCCTCGCTGTGTATTTTGTTCTCCATTTGTCCTCCAAAATAAATATTTAGGAGAGAGCTGAAAATATCAACTGTTTCCTTAAAAGTAGGATAACTCTGCCCAGACATATTATTTGGGTAAATTAGGTCCCCTAAGGTAAAGGAGATAGCTATTCCTCAAGCATTGATTTAATACCTAGGTAACGGAGTTTTCAACATCTTTATTGGTCTCCATTACCTGAACATCGGAGGCACATTTTTGTCTTAACACAGATACTTGAACTTTTTATAACGTCAACTGTGAAACACTGATGGTTTTATATTGAAGGAAAAAAATGTCACCAGTACGAAATAAAGTTGAGTATGTTGTACATAAGGAGTGCTGACATGGACCCAAGTTTCCACTCAGCTTCAAAGAAGTTTGCATTTACTAGTTTTTTTTGTTTTTTTTTTTTTGCGGTATGCGGGCCCTCTCACTGTTGCAGCCTCTCCCGCTGCAGAGCACTGGCTCCGAACGCGCAGACTCAGTGGCCGTGGCTCACGGGCTCAGCCGCTCGGCAGCATGTGGGATCTTCCCAGACCGGGGCACGAACCCGCATCCCCTGCATCGGCAGGCGGACTCTCAACCACTGCGCCACCAGGGAAGCCCTACTGGTTTATTTTTAAACTCTAAATAAAATAACATCACAGTATGTCAGAAGGTGTCTTTGATGAAAACTTTCTGATGACACCTTATCTTCTTCCCTTCCAATGGGAAGCACACCGTCTCCAGTTATGGGTGGTTGGAGTCTAAAGGAAAGACTTCAGTAGCTACCTCTATGGTCTACACAGTCATTACACAGTCATTCTGAGAAAAAAAGTCTCCACTGCAGCTCAAATAAATAATCGGATTTACGTTTCTTGTTGGTGAAGAGGAGGAACTATATGTCAGACAGGCAAGAGATATGATCCCAGGTTTAACTACCAACCCCGACAAACACACATCCCTAATTCAGTTATTCTGCCTAAAAATTTACTAGTATCAACTTATTTTGCTGGGTGAATCACGCAACTACGAAGGAGTGACATTTAATAAACTTTGGTAGCTGTGCTCGAACATCAATCTTATAATAATGTCACTGCCAAACTATAAAACCCCTTTGCTTCTGACAGTGGTGTGACATCAGGACACTGACTGGATGGCAATTGGTAGAAGTCGGCAATGCTTTTGGCCTAAGGGTCACTACCTGGAGGGGCAGGCAAGGGGAAGGTATCGTCATATTAGGCAACAGGCCCCATGTGGAAACGGAATAAAATTTCCTTGGTACCTTCAGTCACACCTTTTGTGCCCTTTCCCCCATTTGCTTCTGATACTTAATGTCTCAATGAATGACCTGATCCTTCAACAAAGCCTCAACTCAGATTCTTTATTCAACCCAGGTATCAATGGTCATCATCAGTTGATATCATTACTGCTATTATTATTGAAGAGCTTTAAGCCAGGCATTGACCAGATATGTTTCTATTTATAAACAATGACTCTGGCAGTTGGGTGAAGATGAGCTTGAGCTTTAAGCCAGGCATTGACCAGATATGTTTCTATTTATAAACAATGACTCTGGCAGTTGGGTGAAGATGAGAAGGTGATTTAGGGATGACAGTGGAAGACGGCTGAGACCAGAAAGTGGTGAATGTGACTTGGACTGGGGGCACGGCCTTTGACACAGAGACATGAAGATGTTATTTAGGTCAGTGGTTCGGAACCTCAGCTGCACATCAGAATCATCTGAAGAGCTTTCTACAGTCCTGAAGCCCAGCTCCACCCTCAGAGCTATTGGCTTACGTTTCTGGGTGCAGCCTGAGCTCTCAGAAAATTACCTTTCCACAGTGAGGGCTGAGAACCACTGGGCCCAGCAAGGCTTTGGAGGACTTGGTGGATTAGACGTGGAGAGGTTAAGACGAGGGAGGTAATTTGCATGACAGCTACAGTTGTGGTAGATGAGTAACTAGCTTACCTGTAGTGCAATTTCCAGAGGAAAAGAAGACTGGAAGCCCAGATTTGAATGTCAACTCTCCTGATGATTTTGATTTGGCAATTTTTTAAACACATGTGTATCAATTTTGTGTAGGCCAAAGAAAACTCACCAAAACTATAAAATAAACAACCTAAGGTAGCCCTAACATTCAGGGGACCAGTCGCAACTTCTGCCTTAAATCAGGGAGGTTAAACTCTAATTATGGATTTCAGACTGTCACAGAATGCAGGAGTGAAATTCTCTGGAGACTCCTGGAAACACATCGATTAATTACTTCATACCTCATTAAGAATAAAGGTGACCTGGAGTATTTGGTGCCCTGCAATTGTGAATTTATTTTCTCCCTCCTTCTCTCCCTCTCTCCCCCCTCCCCCTTTCTGAGGAAGCATAATTTGTTTTTCCAAGGTTATGGGTTAAGGAGCAGAGCTAGGTCTTATATCTTATTAAGTCTCAGGTCTGTGCTACTTCTCAAATGTGGTTTTCAGCAGACTTTTTTGGGGGGAGGGGGTGGGCAGGGGAGCTGTTATAAAGTTTTACTTTTGAAAATACAATTTATATACATAGGACGCTTTTCTAAATACATACCAGAATTTCAACAAGTCTACCACATTCCCAACAATATTTTGAAAGATGAATACAATAAAGCAATGAATCTTGTAATAAAGTATCTGTTAGTGATAAAATACCACACACACACACACACACACACACACACACACACACAGAGTACTCATCAAAGTAGTCTGAATTGAATTAAATCAGGAGCTCCAAGGCTTATATCTCATGAGAATCTAATTTCAGAATATTCCCTTCAAGAGTATTCATTAAACAATGAAACTTTCAAATACTGTATTTTTTTTTGGTTTTATGTCATATTTATGTCATTATATACCAAGGGAGTACTTGTCACAAAACCTAAGAGGATCAAAGGATCATTAATTAATTCCCATTTAGTTCATAATTTGGTACTCAATTTTGTCCAAGACTGAACTAATTTTGGAAAAAAAAGTTTACATCCTTCTGTTAGACTTTTGAGCTACAGATACTATATTTATAAACATACCAGGGGATCTGTCATATTTCATATACTTGAGTTCCATAGAGTTGTATATTAAATCTTATTAGTTTCAGAACCATATGAGCATGGAATTTCCTTTCTCTACTGGCATGAATGTATTCTTAATTTGTATTAATCCCATAACAAAGGAAATGAAGGGTCTTGGGGAGTCTTGTAGGTCATACTATAAACACATACGCTAAGTAGAAAAGACAAAGGTCATCTCTGACATGTGAATTTTACTCTCCAGAACAAATTTCATCCTCAGTCAACTACAAGAAAAGCAGACATGGATATACATCCTTAGGTATGATTCAAAGAATGGGTAAGCAAACACTGAAGCTTTTATGTACCTGTTCCAGGTAGGATCATCAAACCAATCCAGTGTATCAAGAACTGTGCTGTGTGCTGAACTCTCCTTGTAGAAAAAAACCAGATGCCATGTCACCACAAAAGCTGAAAACCAAACAAATAAAGAAGGAATAAATAAATCTAAAACAAGATAAAAGAAGAAGTAGGATACTTGGATCACTTGATTGTGAAATGGCATTTTAATTAAATGATAGATTTCATAAATGGAGATTTATCCCAGACTTTCCCCAAATGGACTTCATCAAGGAAACCCTTTCATTCCACAACACCTGTTAGCATCCTGCTGCAGGAGTGATCCACGGCAGTTACTGGGGAAACAGTGAGCTGTGTACCCTACTTTTCCACGAGATGCCACATCTCGTAGACTCTGTCATATACGGTCACAAGTTCTCAGGTTGAAACTCCCAATAACTGGGAGTACTTTATATGCTTCCCCATTAAAATATGCACATAAGGCACATATATTTAAAACACATATAGAAAGCTAAGTGTTGAGTTTCCTTCACAAGTTTCATAGCGAATTAGCGAAGAACCACTCACCTGACTAGTACAATTTATTTCATGGCAACAAGTATTTGACATTCATCCATCATTTTGATCAATATTTACTGAGTGAATAACATGAACCAGATATTGGGTTGAGAAAATGAATAGGACTTGGGCCTGCCTTCAAAAAACCCAAGTCCACTCAAGTGGGCAAGGCCACTTTGGACCCTCATCAACCCTGAGGACTCAGTCATTGTGTTCACAGTGCAGACAGGGTACAGGGGTGACATCACTGAGCAGAGGGTTTTTAAGCTGAGCCTTGAATGTTGAGTAGAAGAGTGACAGGCAGACAAAGAGATAAGCCAGCGAAGCAGGGGTGAGGGAGGAGAAGGGTGTTATTCAGGCAGCATGTTCAAACACAGGAAGCTGTGAGGGAGAACGGCATGTTCTGAAAGCTGCCTTATATCGGGCCTACAATAATGTGAGGGAACAGAACATGCACAAAGGAAATGGCAGAACATCATTTTACAGATTTAAAGGGCTGTAAATCAGTCCACGGCACGGCGGTACAAACGAAAGCACCCACTCCAATAATTGTATAGAAGCTGAACCTATTCCCGAGCTCCTCTACACACGTCATCGCATCCTGGCTTCACAAAGTTGAGGGGTCTGCCCAAGACCTGAAGATAACTGGTGTAAGTTCATCTGTATCATTTTTCAGATTCTGCATCGATGGGATGTCATATGGGATTTGTCTCTCTCTAACTTACTTCACTTAGTATGATAATCTCTGGGTCCATCCATGTTGCTGCGAATGGCAGTATTTCATTCTTTTTTATGACTGATATACTTATTTACAAAACAGAAATGGACTCACAGACATAGGAAACAAACTTATGGTTACCAAAACGAAGGTGGGGGAGGGATAAATTGGGAATTTGGGACTAACAGATACACACTACCATATATAAAGTAGATAAACAAGGACCTACCGTATGGCACAGGGAACTCTACTCAATATCTTGTAATAACCTATAATGGAAAAGAATCTGAAGTTACATACGTGTGTGTGTGTGTGTGTGTGTGTATATAACTGAATCACTTTGCTGTACACCTGAATCATTGTAAATCACCTACATTTAATAAAAATAAAAAATTTAAAAGCTTCATACAATTGGAAAAAAAAAGTGATTCGTGTAGACCAGTCCAGTGCCCTCTCTGTGCAGGGAGCGGTGCATGTGGCATGTGGTATGGACGTTCCAGTCTCTGTCCTATTTCATGATGTGTGCTTTTCCGACTGTACTGCTGGGTGGACTCCGGGCACAACCAAACCGCGGCCACCATCACCTTTCCTGTTTCCAATTTCAGGAAGTGAAGCATGGCGTAGAAAAATTGTGATTAATTCCACATGTTTTCACCTCCTGGATTTTGATATCTTTAATAAAAGACTTCTCCGTGTGGCCATACTGAAGGCAAGACTGGTCCAGCAACCGTGGAGAAACCGGTGATTCTGTCTACACCCAGCTCTGATCCTCAAACGCCCTCTGCGGACGTAACTGTTACATATGAGCCTCTCTCAGGCCTGGTGGTTCTCGCCTCTGACTTCACCAGCACTTTAATAACTTTGCTGATGTAGTGTGTGGATAAAAGGGCTTTGAACTCTAGGCAGAGGTTGGAATTAGTGCATCTATTCAGAGAGGAATGGAGTCCAGCACTCATTCGTAACATGTAAAAATGGGGAGAGAAAGCATGGAGATGAGGGCAAAGCAGGTTTAGTAATGCAAAAATGAAGAAACCTTGTCTATGACACATAGCTTATATAAGAAAAACTCTAAAGGAGCCTGTGGCATTCTCCAAAGGATGAGAAATATAGTTGCTGAGGCTGGAAAGATTGTAGAGGATTTTTTCCCTTCCTCTTCTTCTCTCTCCTCCCACTTTTTCTCTTTTAAACTCCTGAAGTGAAACTGCTTAGAATACATCTTACTCAGTTCAATTTCTCATCATGAAGGTGAGAGACTGGAAAAATATTTCAGTAGCCCTGAAATCTCCTTGCCCTCATGAAAGAGGATAGCAGCTTTTATTTTCAATGCTTTTCCAGTTGAGAAACTGTATGCTTGTTACAGGCTTTCTGAGACCTTACAACATATTAGGAATTATTTTGGCTTTAAAGAAGCGTGATGGCTTAAAAAGGCAGCTTCTGCTACAGAGGCTCTCAAGATAGAAACTAATGCCAGGCAACAGATGAACAGCAATGCCTAGAATACAGACAGACACTGGATGTAAGACAGACAGAATCCAAATGACAGTATCATCCAGATATGCAACTTCCAGCAATGACCTTGTGTTACAGCTGCTTGACAAACCACACTTGTTACCACAGAAGTAAGCTTGTTCTTGACATGCAGCAGGGAGCAGATGAAGCAGAAGCATTATTTGAAACCGAAACGTAGAAGCAAATAAACGAATCAAAAATACCTGTGAGCAACCTAATGGAAGAAAACTTGGATAAGTCATTTAAAAGAGAAACTGGACTACACACAACATCCTAAAATGAGTAATTTATGGAAAAAAATTTATTTCGAATGTATTTCCCATTTGTTTGTATGAATACTTAGGAAATTCATGGGATCCAACAGATTTGACCTCAGTGATTTGCTGTACAATCCAGCATTTGCTGGCACGATAGAAATTGGTTCTCTAGAGAAACCTGACAACTAGCCCCTGTAAACTCTGGAATGAGAAATCGGGTTCTATGAAAATTTGTACCAAAAGAGCCTGGATGCTTAATCCATGCAAGAAGAAGTCGGGGCAGGTGGATTGGTAGATGAGATGAGGGAGGTACAGGCAGAGGGAAGGAGAATTAATTATTTCCCTTATGGTACTAACACACCAGGCATTGATTTCTCATCTGATCATCTCAACAGCCTTGTGAAGGAGGTGTCATCGTCACTAGTTTACAAATGAATTATTATTTTTTTTGAGAGGCTAATTTACTTAATACACAACAAGAAGTGGCCTGAGCTGGGATTTGAAACTATGTTTGCCTGATACTTAGGTGATTTTCCTAATTAAAACCACAGTAATCCTCAAACAGTAAGCAATATGTAAATTAAAAAATCTCAATAGCAATCAAACAAACCCACAATTTAAAAAATGACACAGACTGCATTAGCTACAATTATAAATAATAAAATGCAGACGGGACTATTGGGAAAACAATGGATAAACTCATATATTTTGGTGGTATTATGCATATGTAGAACCCACTGAATCACCGATCTCACCCACACCTATATTTAGGGCCCTGAAATATATTCATATCTTTGGACCTACTAATCCCACTCACAAATTATCCCAAAGAAACAATTCAAAATTAGGAAAATGTTCATTGTAGCATTATTCATAATACTAGTGAAAAACAGAAACTATTTGTGTATCCCACAGCAGGGCATCTAAGAAAATGTTTGTATATTAACTCCACAGTATATTAAGTAGCCAATAAAGTAATAACTAAGGCACAATATAGAGAAAGTGGTATAGAAAACTGTATGTTCTGATTATAAGTAGGTACAAAATGTATATGTGAATAAATACTAGCCACGTAACCAGAATAAAGAAAATTGTGGTGCTAGGATAGAGTAGCTGTGAGTGCATTAAAAAATCTTAACTCCATTCTCATAATATATTTTAAAATTGTACTCATTTGAAATGCTTACTGAATAACAATACAGACCCACAAACATGATATATATTTGGAATACGTGTTTACATGGTGAAATGGTCTCCAGCACATAAAATATTATTTTGTTACATCGTTAAGTATTTGATAGTGGAGGAAGGAGGTAGGAGATGAAAGAGATATACTTAGTATGATGCTGAGATTTTATATATATATATATACATATTCTAACAGAATGGTGAAAATCAATTTCTTATAATGACCGTCCACAGAAAACTTAGATTAGATTACAAAACCAAGAAGATTTGTTGACATAATTGCTAATGCATGTGATTTTAAATGAATCTATGATCAACAGTCTTTTCCACACTGTAACATAACTTTCACCTTCTTACATTCCCTCTATCCCATTTTCTAAAGGAAAAAAAAAGCTAAAGAAAATTGGCTGAGCCTCAGGATCTCCCATTTCTTCATTTCCTTAAGACATCACCCATCTCCCAAACAGGGTCTCCTCCATCCCTGGGAAGCCATTTAGTCTTCCCAGGGCAGGGAGAAGGTGCATTTGAAGAGACAATAGCTAACTCACAGCTACTGGCTTCTGTCTCACATAAGAACAAGGGTGAACTAGCAAGTGTTCGTCATTTGTCTCAGATGGTATCTATTCATCTCTCTCTAGTCGTGGTCTCATTCCTGGTTTTAGGCAGTAAATTTCTAGCATTTGCTGCTCCAAAATATCTCCTACCCTCTAGAAGTTAGATTAAGGTGGAAAAACTACATTGCCTATCTCCTGGCTCAATAGCTCTTAGAAAGCAAAGGAACATCCATTCTAAGTCTGTAAATCTCACAGATCATTAGAAATTCACAAACCGAGCTGATCTCCCTGTGCTATGCGGCTGCTTCCCACTAGCTATCTACCTTA